GTACCAATATCGGAAACGCTCGGCTAGCTGGTCTCGAAGTTGATCTTGGGATGGTTAAAGGGGACTACAATAATGCATTGACGATCTTCTTCGTCTCGTATGCTGTCGTCGAACCTGCAACAAATGCCCTGCTCAAGAAGATCACGCCTCGATTGTTCTTTACCCTTATCATTCTGACTTGGGGACTCATAATGACTCTTATGGGGCTTGTTACCAACGTCAAGGGTCTGCTAGCTGCTCGCTTCTTCCTCGGTATGGCCGAAGCCGGACTCTTCCCTGGAGTCAACTATTATCTCTCTTGTTGGTATAAGAGCTCTGAAATCGGCATCCGGTCTTCTATCTTTTTCTCAGCAGCTGCACTGGCAGGCTCATTCGGCGGCTTGCTCGCAGCAGTTATTGCAAAAATGGATGGAATCGGCGGGAAACCTGGTTGGGCTTGGATCTTCATATTGGAGGGCCTTGCAACTGTTGTAGCCGGACTGGCGTGCTGGTGGCTGGTCTTTGATTGGCCAGCAACGGCAAGCTTCCTCAGTCCTGATGACCAGATCCGAATCCAACGTCGCTTAATTATGGACCGGCAAGGCCGAACGGCCGAGGATTTCGATAAGAGACATATGTTTGCTGCCCTCAAGGACTGGAAAACATATGGATATATGCTTATCTATATGGGCTGTCTTACTCCTCTATATGCCTTCTCCCTGTTTCTCCCGACTATCATTGCCGGCATGGGGCATGTAGGTACCAAGGCCCAGCTTCTCTCTGTGCCCCCCTATGCAGTTGCAGCGGCTCTCACTATTTGTGTGGGATTTTACGGCGACAGGACGCGGCAGCGAGGTTACTGCAACATAGCCATTGTTCTGCTCGGCATTGCTGGTTTTGCTATGCTTATAGCGACGTCCAACCCGACAGTGCAGTATCTAGGTGTATTCCTCGGTGCAGCAGGCATTTACCCTACTGTGCCCAACACTCTCTCCTGGTTGAACAATAATACTGAAGGGTCGCTGAAGCGTGCCTTTGTGCTGGGAGTAGTAGTTGGCTGGGGCAATTTAAATGGCGTGGTATCATCAAACATCTACCTGCTTCGTGAAAAGCCCCGATACTATACGGGACATGGGGTTGTCTTTGGCTATCTGGTGGTTTTCTTACTCGGTGGATCTATCTTGATGCATCTTGGACTTCGCAAGATGAACAGAGATCGCAGCCTTGGCAAGATGGATGCTAAATGGGACAATTTGTCAGATGAACAAAAGTGGGTTCAAGGTGACCTGCGACCTGACTTTAAGTACACGCTATAAACTCCACAGTATTATGTAGTTGATATAGAATTATTTTAAATTCAGGACCTGATTGTAAAGATCGAGCTGATGACTCGTTGCGTTGGAGCTGAGTGGTCTTCAATGTCGTCACAAAGGAATGACGATCAATGGTGGGTTTTGGTAGAACAGTTCATATAATTTAGTCATTATACACCAAAATCCTGACGCCTACTCAAGACTCTCTTTTTGATATCTCCAGGATATCCGTTCTCAAAATCACAAGTCACCCAGCCTTGCTTCCCTTCATACTCTTCCGGTAACAAACAATTGGCCACGACCTTTCCTCCTGTGAGCTTCGTCCCAGGTCCATGCGACATATACGGCACAAGTGGATAAGCAGGGACATCCTCAAAATGGAACTCATCCATCGTTGGTCTACATCTCGTTGCAAAAGCCCAAGTGACATCATTCATGTCGAAAGGGTTGATATCCTCTCCAACTACTAGCAAACGGTGGATTTGCATGCCGCACTTGTTGCGGAACACGAGATCTCCAATCTTGGTGCACAAGTCTTTGGCTTTTGTCTTTATTTCGGCGAGCTTCTTGCGGTCGACTTGTACAGCCGCCCAAATGACCTGTGTCTCGAACAAGGCAAAGACTTGAGTCACTGGTAAACCGTGCTGTTGGAGCAAGTGGCGAATTTCAGCAGATGCAAGTGTTCCAATCATGGTATGTGTCTCATCCGGGCCAAGGTTCGCGCGTCCAGGTACACAAACTGGTAGAATTGGGTTGTTACGATAAGTGATGGCTTTGACAGTATACAGAGGTTGCTGAGAGTTCTCATCAAGAAAACTGTAGCCATGCATCTCGCCGAAAGGGCCCTCTTTGGCAGTATCTGTGATAGAAATCGTGCCTTCTAGGACGATTTCGCTTGTAGCTGGGACGTACATGTTGTTGGTTTCACACTTGACTAGCTCTAATGGTGATCCGCAAAGTGCGCCGACATATTCGGACTCTGAGACACCAGAAGGTAGGGGCATACTAGCTGCCATGGTAGCGATCGGAGGAGCACCCAGGGCGATGGCATACGGTACATCGTTGCCGGTCTTTTTCCACTCTTCAAATATCCTAGCTATATGCTGCGGCTTCATGATAAGACCCACCATTCGCGTCTTATCATAAACCATTGCCCTTGCGATAGACCAGTTTGTCCATGGCTCTGTTGGATGTGGTATGATGTTGATCCCCAATGTCTGGATGTAATTCCCTCCATCAGCCTTGTTCAGAAGAGGAGCGGGCAGCTTGGTGAGATCAACATCGCCGCCCATAATGATGTTTTCTTTGCACGGCCCAGTAGATACATGAACTGGAGGCAGCGGCCGTTCTCTTTTTGCCGATAGCATTTTGTCAATGACATCTGTCACACCAGCATCTTTTGGAAGAGCAAGGTGCTCTGCCAGACGTCGGTAAGGATACTTTGAGTCACTGGAGAAGCCAGCTGGTGCACCCAGGATGCGAAACAGGCCGTCCTTTGCCCCCTTCACATTGTGGAACAACGGTGCCTTGGTGCGCTGTTCATATGCCAGACGGATGGCAGCTGCGACTTCGAGCTTGGGATCAACTTCAGAAGTGATATCGGTCAAGTCCTTGTTCTCTCGCAAAGTGTCAACAAAGGCTCGAAAGTCGAGATGCGCTGGGGAAGAACTGTTGCCTCCAGATAGCGACCGACGCAATCCACGGCTCGCGAGGAGCCTGTTTCTCAAGGTAGGACGAAGCTGCTGCATGATCCTGATCGAATATTAAACGGGTTCCAGGTTGAGATGCGATGCTCCCGCAAGGCACATCGCTTCGTTGGCTACTCCCGGATTTTAAGTGGGTGAAGCACTTGTCGGCCGCCTCGTCACGCATCTGGCAATATGGTGTAGTCAGCTTTAGCAAGCATGTTATTAAGCACTACTGCAACGATCTGTCATCTTCAAGCAAGCCACAATGTGATAAGTCTGATCTTGATCGCGAAGCCGTCCCGATTACCCGAAATCACAGCATAGCAGACGTCTAATCACTTCATTGCTCTTAGCCCCCCATACTGCTCGGACTTCGTCTCAAGCCATATCAGCCTGGTGGGGTTACAATTAAATTATCGAAACTTTCTGTAAAGCACATTTCAGGTGATTCATTGGGCACTTTGAAATGTTGATCCCTCGTAGCCTGTGGACTTGGATCAGCAGAGAACTTAGAAGTCAATTGCTAGCAAGATGTCCGAAAGGCAAGGTTGGATTGTTCTAGCCAATGAAACCTGTTGTCCATCAGGAATGGAGATTCAAAATAGAGAATTCCGATGCGGATTTCGTATAAAAGCAGGACTGTGAGATGTGGCCGTTTGCCTTGAGCCTAGTAAATCTTGGAATGGTGCAAGATCCGCACACCATTCTATTATAGTGCTTACATCGTTGCACGCTACAATCAAGTAACTATTAGAGTAATGAATGGCCGGTTTGTAAACTCTGACTAAACTACATCTAAGGGCTTATTGTATTTTTCTCTTTAAGCTGATCGGCTCTGTTACCCGTACAAGGATTACAGCTTTTGGGTGCGTGTACAGGATGCAAAGTAATCCGACTTGCGATTTATGCCGGCTCGAACAAACTACTCAACTCTCCATCACATCACCAACTGCTCAAGACCTTCACTCAAGTTCCATTCTGCTAAGATGCGCAGTCTTATTCGCCCCTTGAGCCGTTTCAATAGACATGATCTCCTAAGCCTTTCACTGGCTCATCACTTACCAGTTCAAGTGCGCTCCCAATCATCCTTCGCTAGGCCCAATGGCCGTCGGAAACGTATCGTTGTCGCTGTTACAGGAGCGACTGGTTCTCCCTTGGCAGTTGCTCTCCTCAAACGTCTTCGGGAACTTGAGGTTGAGACGCATCTCATCATGTCAAAGTGGGGAGGGGCAACACTTAAATACGAACTTGACGGTCCAAATAACACAGCTTTGTACCTTGAGTCTCTTGCTTCTGTCACGCACTCGTCGCTAGATGTTTCAGCCTCACTATCCTCTGGCTCCTTTCGCACGGATGGCATGATTGTAGTTCCATGCAGTATGAAGACATTAGCAGGCATACGAATGGGCTACGATAATGACCTCATTGTACGAGCGGCAAGCGTGACATTGAAGGAGAGAAGGAGACTTGTTCTAGTGGCCAGAGAAACGCCATTAACGAGCATTTACTTGGAGAACATGCTTGAAGTGACCAAGACCGGAGCTGTGGTGTTCCCGCCAGTGATGGCCTTTTATACAAGACCGAGTTCTATCGATGACATGGTACAGCAAAGTATCATGAGAATGATTGACCTGCTCGACCTAGAAGTCATAGATGAGGATATGCAGGATGAATCCCGTTGGTCAGGATTTGACTGGGCAGCAAAGGAAAAGCAAAGTACCTAGTGCAGGAACACAGGCCACTTCTTATCATACAGGTCTGTAATGTAGTTCGCGGCAACGACTAAAGTAACATTTATTTTACTCAGTATATATAAGTCTCATATTAAACCCCTGTCCTATAACTATTAGCGAAATTCTTTTACTAGAGAAATTATTTAAAAACATTTCCAGACCAGCATTAGCTGCAACATTTAGGAAGCAATTATCTAGTAATATAGAAGTGTTTAAGGAAACACTGTATTCTATCTGCTAAGATAATATTTAACTTTAAAGATCTGTTTTTAAGACATTATAGGCCCTTAATATGCTCTTAAAAGTGTGCCTTCTTTCTCTTTGCTCGAATTTTGAACTTCAAGGTTCATCAGAGGTTTGACTGTCTCATTGATCTCATTCTGTCCCATAACCAAACACCAATAGCTATCGACACAACGGCTGTGCAGTCTCCCCAACACGGCATGGAAAGTTGCTGGAATAGAGAAGCTTCCCATGTCCGATGACAGTTTGAGCTTTTCGATTACAAGACTTATCAAATCTAGAGCAAAATTCTGTCCAGCCTCAGACACATCCTTTCTATGAATGGTCGGCCCATTTAAAACTTCGAGCTTGATGACCATGACAACAGTATACATCATCCTGGTAAAGACGACAACAGGAACTTGTTGTAGAGCCTTTGAGGAGAATTGCAGGAACAACTGTATTAGGTTCCGAGCCGCATTTAGGCACTTTATACGCGTATCAATATACTGTGGCGTATCTGGATCGAATGTAGTCGTAGACAGAAAAGTCTGTATTGCATAAGGAGGGCGAAAATCTTGAGACTCGTGATTATAGTAAAGGCCTGGTTCATAAAGGTTAAGAAGGACGACATGGTAGTGTATATCGATGGTTACTTTAACTATTAGTTACTCGAGACAGAGACGGTGGCAGCAGTCTTACCGGTCATGATATTTTCCGGGGTGTTCCGCCGCCAATCTTTGAGGCGTTCGAGACAGTTTTGCAGAAGAAAATGGTTCCGTTGGTCGGAGTGATCAAATGAATTCCCATTTGGCCTGGCTCTGGCCATGGAAAGAGACTCCTCTGCAAGCCGTTGGAGTCTGATCCATGCTGCCAACCGTCGATCACCAATATGTGTGCTCGCTGGAGAATCTAAGATATTTATACACTCTTGCACCCAGGTGCCATAGTGTAGCGTGCTCGGCCGCCGGAATGACATAGCGATACTGGAGATGTATTAGGATAACTGCTGGATATCAGACGAGGTAAACGTGCTGAACCTTGAGCATAGAAAGTAGCAAGCTGAGAACGCCCTAACTGTTTCCAAGTATTCTTTAGTATATAGGACCCCAGGATCAGATGTCATGATTTCATATCGCTCGTCATTTGAGCATCGCAGGTCAATCACCATAGCTGCTGTGATATTAATAAATTGGCTAAAGTTCAAATGCTCGAACTTATCCGGTGGGTGACTCCAAGTAACAAGAACCAGAGCAGCTTGTATCAGATCTAGTGATTTCCGGCCGTAAATCATGGTTTGCTCCATGACATATCGCTCTGCATCTCGAAAGAGTGGTGTCCAGAGATCTGGCCTGAAACAGCTTGATGAGGTTGCTAGCACAGCCCGGAACAGTGCTGGCCGAGCTTGTTGCAAAGTCTGCCACGAGAGAGGGGCATCGGGAAGGATTAAAGGGTATTACGGTAAAAGCTCGGTGAAGAACTTGATTTGTAATTCTTCTGCAACTAATTCTTCAATAATTCCTCGAGATACGGGGTCTCCCTTGGTGGGGGATTCGCTGGGAGTCCCATAAGCTGTAGGTTGACTGGAAGAAGTGCTTGAGTTGTACATAATTGATGGGAATGAGTAATTTGTACTTGTGGGCGTTATGGAGGCTTCTGAGGTTGGTGGTATGTGCAGGTCTCTTTGGGGTCCTGTGGCGATCGCGCGCTGAACTTCCTCGAGCTTTTGCTCAAGTTCATGGATCCTTGTTTCATTTCGTTTCCGTCTTTTCCTTGTCACTGGAACTTTAAAGATGCATTCGATGTCTAGTTTTCTGCAGCGGTTGCACCTTTCTTGCGAAGGGTGGGAAATAGAAGGCCCTGAGATGCACCTGATCTTCCTTTTTCGACAGCCCTTTGACTTGCATTAGCAATGGCACTGACAGGGATTTGTTCATCATACCTTGCAATTGCTATTGAGTCGAGCCTCCGTGGTAACTTCTGACGCACTCATACTGTCTTGGTTGGTGTATATGTGCGTGTCACGAAAGCGGAATGAACGACGAGTTACGGTCGCGGCTTGGAAATTCGAGCCCGCTCTGAAAGCACTTTTTCGAGGCATGGGCGGAACATAATAAAGTACCGCATGCCGATACAGACGCGCGCTAGTCTACGGAAGACATTAAACATGGGACGAACGACTCGTGCTTAGCGGTGATAAGCCTCCTTTAGTGCTTACGCATTGTTACTCCGCTTCTCTCAATTCAAAATGTAGTCTGCAAGAGCTTTTAAAGAAAGGCATTGTGATTATGCATGGCGCCAGCTTGCCATTGACATGATTACAAGGAAAGTATCAGCCAGGTAGGTATCCGCCAGGAGACAGAAAACAAATCAAGACTATACTTTTCCGTTAGTCAATCTAATATTTAAACTTAAGAGAGAAACTTCAGCAGTTCATCAAGAAGCTAAAAGTTAAACTGGCAAGCAAATATCATTATATTTGCTACAGCGGCCTAATAAACGAGCTTTACAAAACAGAAATGTGGAATTCTTACTGATACTTTAACTACTTAATATATATCCAAGTACTGCGAATTATAGAGCATAAATGTAAATCTACCTGTATATCACCACTCAGCTGGGTCTATCGTACTATGCAGTCAGTGCTTCGCCACAATATATAAACTATACACCATCATATGACATGAGGGCCGTAGTCCGCTCACGCCTGGTACAGAGCTCCTCCATTCTTCCAGTCACCAATAGTTCTTGCGGCATAGACATAGTCAGTATGCTCAATGAGTTCCGAGACTTGACTGATCTGACCATGGGTTGGCAGAACACTGGAACCTCGTCAGTTATTTGTTTTCGTTTTTATATCTTGTACTGGGAAGTACTTACTAGGCGCTTTCAGGAACACCATCCCTATCAAGCTGACCGAGCCACTCTCTCATTTCCCACCTGTCATTGTTGGCATCAGGTATACCAGGGTGCCACGCGTCGGCCTCAATGATAGCAATACCTGATTCGTTGGTAGGGCACTTGTTAGTGATAAATATATATGACCAGTCGATGGAGTGTGTGGCTTGCTCCTCCCAGATGAACCAGGCCTGGTGCTCGTTATCGCTATTGATGTAGGGGTGCGTTTCGCTAGTAGATGATTGGATGGTATTTCTTAGTTGATTGATGCACAAAGTCATACTTGAAGGTGATGAGCTCGGCACCGGGAATGCTTGACCAATAGCTTGTTGCAATCTCGGGGATAATCAACTTCGCCCCAATTTGGACATATTCAGCAGCTCCTCCACTGTGATCACGGTGATGGTGGGTAGGCTATTACAGGAGAGTTAGTTTCTCATCACGAAAGCTTGGTTCATCCTTAATCTTGGGAGCTTACCCAAAGGTATTTAATAGGCTTGCCAATTTTCTTGTCAATCCACTCGATTACTTGCTTGGTCCACTGGGGAGGTGCATCACCGACGATGACGTGGTCCTCGAACTCGATCACGAATTGCTTAACTCCTAAAAACTCGTCATTGACGATGAGCCAATGAGCATTGGGCAGACCGGGGACGATGTTTTTGTGCTTGATACTGTCGACAGAGTTGTTGCTAATGCCGGACCCAGGACCAGACCAAAGCATGTTGCTGCTGAGTTCTAGAATGTGCGCATGACTGAGACCCTCAGTCTTCTTGGGTGCCTCTTTCGGGAAGAATCCTTCCCTTTCTGACAATCCACTGAAGTAGTCCTTGGGGAACCTGGGATTAATAGTGATTTCTTCGACCATGAACTCTTCGAGTGTTGCATCTAGCTTCTGCGTAGTGGAGCTATAGACGGTCTGAAACGTGTGAGGAAATTTGATGCCCTCGATGGCTCTGTATTGAGAAACGTAAAGGTCATTTGTCGAAGGTCCATAGATCATGTGATTCTCGTCGGTGCGTATGATGTGGGGCAGATGGCTAGACGCATCGAAGACCATGGTGATTTCAAGAATGGGATCATAAACTATTTAGGTTAGATCGAGATCACCAGGTTCGAGGCTGGTAACCCGCCAGCAGCTGTTTTGATTCCATTGATCAAAACCTCAATAGCCTCGGTACCATGATGATCTTTCATCTGGAAATGTCAGCAAACTATACAGTTGATGCTGCATGTCTACTACGCACCTCCAACAGAAGCTTTGGCGAAAAGACGTTGACCGTATATGCACCCTGGTCTATATTATATATATCGACATCATTGCCATTGCTATTACCAAGTCTTCCAAACGCATCATTAGTCACCCAAAGTACCACCACCATTTGTGTATAAGCCTTTTCTAGGGATCGCGTCGACCTAAAACGAAAGTCGCCGAGCAAGGAGGAGACTATCGCCACGTTTAAGGCGAGAGCATCGTGGTTTGATTTTATGCTCATTAAGAGAACATACCACAGACTTACCTGACTACCCCACGTTTTCTGCTCTAATTGCGTGCTGCAAATTGCTATCCTTCTAAGCTCCCTGGTAGACCATATCCACTAACCTACCAGGATTGGACGCGATCCGTGATGCTTTTTGTTGTGAACTTTGATATGTCCGGGGCAGTTGGCTTGAGCCTTATATCTTTGAAGAACGCTCGGCCATCTCCGTTGATGTCATTTCTGTGGGTAGAAGGTAGCATATTCAATAGTTCTGATTATCTTACAACACCGCCTACCTACAAGACCTCGATTTGGGAAGGGGGTTGTTAACTTAAAAAGGGCTCCAGATCAGTGCTATATCAGCCAGGGAGCTCTGGCCGGAGTTTGAAGATCTGATTTCTGTATTACTAGAACTATTATGTGGATAGATTCCCAGTTCATAAAAGAACGGCGGAGTTATCTGGTAGTGTGCAGGATTATTGTGTTAAGCCTGAAGTGTATTTTCTAACCTTATAACTGACTTATAAACTTAATATCACTATAACCTTCTAACTTCCTTAAACCTTTATTTTAACCTTATTTTTAGCCTAGTAATACTAATATATATATTATTAAGAAACTTTCTCTTTTCTTATATATTAATATTTCTTAATAAATCTAATAGCTATATACTATATCTAGAAGTTCCTTTTAGTAAATTACTATTTAGATATTAAATATAGATATAATTTAGGTATAATTTCTTTAGATTAGCTATATAGCTATATTAAATCTCTTTAGTTTCTTTAGCTTCTTTAATACCTTTTTCTCTTATTAAGTAACTTTAATAACCCCTATAGGAAATTTACTAAAGGCTACTATAAAAGTAATAGTTTTATAGTTAAAAAGAGCTAGTTAAATAAGGAATTTACTGCTAAACTTATAGAAGTCCTATATAGAGATAAACCTTATAGTAGCCCTATAGTGCTTTTTAAGGGGTTTATAGATATATTTACCTTATTAAGTCTCTCTATATATTAATATAGCTTAAGGTATAATTATAGCTTTATTAATATAGTTATTAATATCTACTATTTAACTAGATTAGTATTAATAAAAGATTAATCTTATTAAAGCTGCTATCTTAAAGATTAAAAAGAGGTATTTATAGTATTAAGTTAACCTTTTTTAATTAGGGTCTAGAGATACCTTTTTATATGCCTTTAAGGCTAACTAAAAAGTTATTATTTAGGTTTTCCTTTTATTAGCTTTATACTATAGTAATTAGTTAGATATTATAGTATAATATCTAAGTTATAAGCTAAAAGTATTATTTACTGCTAAGACCTATAGCTGAGAGCTTAATCTGGCCGAGAGAAGATAGTAGTGTGCAGGATAGCAATCAGTGTAACAGGGTTGTTGTCCATTGCCGTTGGCAATGTACTCCTTGGAGGGTGATGGTGAGGGAATTTGGTCAGGCATGGTGTGTTGAAAAAGTAAGTGGGTAAGCAAGTTGAGGATTAAAGTGCAAACTTATGCCAAGGGCCAAAAGGATTAAAGTAAGTAATATGATCTGTCGGTCTTTGCTGGGAGTACTAAGTTGAATGAGGGAGTGGTGGAGTGTAAGGGAGAAGAAGAAGAGGAACAGTGTTAGAGGGACAGCAGGCTTTTTATACTTCGCGCTGCTGCCTTGCGACGCGTGAGAAACTGATGGCACAGCAAGCAAATGCCAAAATGACGCGGAATCACGTGACTGTACTGCGTATTAATGAAGGACTTGCAGTGGTGGAGGAGGTAGTGGAAGAGTAAGAGAGGGGGAGGTGGAGGTTATGTAGGTGAGGGGGTATGCTGAGTAAAGAGAAGAGGAAAGAGCAGTTCGCTGAACCAATCATTACCCTCCTATTATGCATTCTCGGGGTTAAGTTAAAAAGTCCTTTCAATAAATAACACTACTTAGTCTATAATTATCTATTAATTGGAACAATAACTAGATTAATTACGTTCCTAATATTTAATTTATTGCTTTCTAAATCTGTCTTGCTGCTGTGTTTTCTGATGCAAAGCCGCCCCTATGTAAAGGGCTGATACATCACCAGACCCTATGTCAAGATATCAAATTCGCCCTTTTATGTTGTATGCGGCATGATATAATGTCAAACCAGTCACACGTCAAGGGACTGTACATGTTTCTCCGAATCGATAGGTTGATCAGACTTAGAGAGGTTGCTGATGGTTCAGTACCGTTAATTCCGACCCATAGCCACTATTCCGGTGTATCATAACACACCTTTACAGGTAAAACATTCGTGACGCTAGTTGCCTTCTCGGCCTTGGCCGTGCTGTTGATATGTCCTCGTACAGTATCTGTACGGAAAACACCTGGATCCTAAAGACACTACGTTATATCTTATTGCGGGACTCGATTATCTCTGAGTTTTCACGATACGGAAGAAGCATGAAGATTCCTTCAGATCACGTTCCTTCTTTGACTTTCGTGTAAGTTCAGAAAAAAAAGCACCGTAACTTCAATACTCACACAAGACTTTTGCCCTTACCTGGTGATAAGGTCTCTCATCTATCATATCTATTCCGGACCTCAATAAGATCCAATTCGATGTCATAGCTACTGAAATTTTGCAGCAGAACTCACCGTATCTCGAGATCCCTACTCAATCACGGCAACTTGGTGCAAAATGTGAAGACTAACTCAGGGAGATCACCACAACCATAGCTAATTTATCAAGGCAGTAAAGTTTCTGACTCTTGACCAAGAGGAAAGCTGTAGAGAATAACGCAATCTAGCATGGCCAATCTTTTCCTACCCATTTATATCGGGCCACTCCGGACAGCCAGCTTTCGAACTAAACTATATATCTTAATACTAACAGTGGAGACTTAAATGTCTAAGTGCAGAAAGAAACAAGAACGACTAAACGACTTTTATCTGAGTGGAGAATTGTGTGACTAGAACTAGGTATTGTTACTTCAAACTCCAGTTTCAGGAACAGCTTGCAGCTTTCTCTATACTTCTTTTATTTCATAAATAGATACATCTGACATTATTAATACACCATATTATGAACTCATGTTAGAAAGTGGATTTATAGAAGGAGGCCTAAGGATTACTGTATTGCCTTAGGTCTGTAAATAAATAAAGATAGAGGTTTTATGGATTAAAGGGCCAGTAAAAAACAACTATTATCTTCTTTACCGGCATTTAATTTCAAGCTTAATAAAGTATGCAAATTATAAGAAAGTGCATATAGAACTAAGACTATAAAGACAACTAATAAATAAATGGCACCTAATTGACATCTCTGACAGAGGAATCTTTTATTTCCTTCTCCAAAAGAATCATCGCTATTTGTGGGTGCCGCCAACGTGCGATATCATATGAGGTTCGTCCAGAATTATTTTTAGCTGTAATGCCTGCTCCCTTCTCAAGCAGAGCTTTTACCACCTCCAACCGATTCATGAGTGACGCGAAATGCAGCGATGTCCATCCATCAGTGTCGGTAGCTGTAATATCCGCTCCTTTCTCGAGCAATAATGTGGTTACCTCCGCGCTTGTTGAGTGATGTAGTGCCGTTTTTCCGTCCTTACTTACAGCATTAACATCTGCTCCTTTCTCAAGCAGGATTTTCACCAGCTCTACCGAGCCCGCTGATGATGCGCGGTGCAGTATCGTCCGTCTGTCGTGATCTGTAACTGTGATATCCGCTCCCTTGTCAAGAAGGATCATTGCAATATCTGAGTCAGATGTAAGATGTAGTGGGGTGGACCCAAGCCAGTCAACAGCTGTAACATCCGCTCCCTTATCAAGAAGAATTTTCACAAATTCCAAGTGACCCTTGGCTGATGCTTCATGAAGTGGTGTCCTCCTCCCTCTACCAACAGCTGTAACATCCGCTCCTTTATCAAGAAGAATCTTTGCAGTTTCGAAGTCGCATTTTGATAATGCGCCATGTAATGCCGTTGTCCCGTCCTTGTTAACAGCCCTCACATCCGCTCCCTTACCGAGAAGCATCTTTGCAATCTCGCTATGTCCATTTACAGTTACCCTCACTAAGTCAGCCTCAATGACCCGTGAACCATTCTGCAAGAGCAGCTGGGCAATGGCCAAATGACCCTCCTCGCATGCCCAAGCAAAAGGCGTTTGGCCCTTTCTCACTGAGTCCCTTCTGCACTTCAGCTTATCCGTAATATCGACACCATTGTAGATCCTCGATGGCAAGCCCAACAAGGCTGCCACGCTACCCTTGTTTCCTTTAGCCATTGCTGCTAGTAGTGGACTTGGGTATCTCCCTCCTGCTCCTTCGATCCCTGGGGATATTTCGAGATTTGTTCGAATGAGGTTCGAATACCCCCTTTCGGCAAGGATGTACAGGATATTTGCATCGAGATCGTACTTGCGAATCTTGTGTTTCTCAAAGACGTTGAAGATAGTAATCCATTTCGGTAACGGGAACTCGCTAAGAAACTCTTGCTGAATAATCTCGTGGGCAGCAGCGTCAGCGTGGTGAAGAACACATTGACTGGCGTACCCCAGAAAAGGGAATTGCTCCAATAAGCTCTCCTCTGGGTCCTGGGTATGAGTGGAATTTTGCTTGTCAAGTGCCTCCCGTACAGTTTCGTGAAATATGTATGTATTGCAACAAAGCTTAAGCTCCTCGTGCCCTTGGCTCTTCCAGTCAGCCGCAAGAGTTGGCCATAGTGTGTAAAGACCCTTATCTTTGATGAGGAAGTCACGGACCGACTCGTGTATGAACTGCACTGTGGGCTTCTTGGATTTAGTGATTTCAGCAAGTCCTTTAGAAGAACTAATAACGAATTTGTTAAAGCAGTCGCTAATGTCTGTACTGTTGACAGGCGGCATCTCGGGATCTCCTTTCTGCCTCAGTAATAATCCAGACCAGAGAGCATGGTAATACTCTCCAGGCTGCAACGGTCGTTCTGCAAGCAGAATCCAAAGAATTGATAGTAACAGCCTTTCCAGGTGGCCTTTATCCCGTGTCAGAATATCTTGAAAAAGTGCACTCAATTCATTCGGCACCTGGCGCAACCTGGTCCGAAGTGCTATGCGTCCATGGCGATTCTCCTCGTTCAAAATGTCCACCACCAGAGCAACCCAGAGGAAGACGCCGGCGGCTTTTTCAAGCATCATCGCTGTCAACTCCTCGACCAGAGGAGGGTCCTTGATTCGCAAGTGTCTGCTGATATAGCGCTTCAAATCTTCACTGTGACCGTCTTGGCCTTCTAACGTCAATCGAATCCCCGACTTGATATCGATATAAGGGTAGTGTCGGCTCGAGAAACACACTTGGAATTTCATATTGTCTTCCACACATTGTTCTGCAACTTCTTCAAAGAACTCGACCATATCTCTAATTTGTTGTTCATCGCACTCGTCTAGGGCATCGATGAAACAGGTAAGAGCTTGGTTTCCGAGAGACGAGACCGCAGAACGGAATAGGTCTTTGAGGACGTTTAGTGGGGGGCATATAACCTGGTTCCGTGCTATTAAGTCAGGGTCGTCTAGAATGATCTGGATATCGGGGAACCCTTGGAGGAGCTGAAGAAGTAAAGATCGGTACATGCCTGAGACTGACTTTTCAAGTAGATCTCCTCTGGCATTGAAGAAGAATGAGACAGTAAGAGCCTTTAATGGGATGTCTGTCTTCCTCTATTTTGTGTAGATGAACTTCATGATTATTGATTTGCCAGCACCTGGCTTACCACGAATCCAGAGAAAGCCATGGTGCTGGGATTTCCTTATTGGGTCCAGCCATGCAAGGTAGTCAGGATATTTGAGAAACCAGCTGCAAGTCTTAGCATAGGCAGTTTTGATTGTAGTCCTGCGCGAATCGATTTAATTAAACTTAAGACACTCCATTAGCTGTTTTTAATAAGGACTAGAATTAGAGTTAAAAAACATACTAAAGGGGTCCTAATTAAGGTTATAAGTAATAAATATTTAAAGCCTTTTATTTATATATCTCTAGATTTTTATAAAATTGCTAGTAAACTTACTATTTTTATATAATAGATTTATTTAAACTTAAGTTTAGGTATCTATATATAATACCTTTTTTAAAAATTTTAGTAATTTATTCTTTAAATTTAAATTTAAATATCTATATG